TTGTTATCCATTCTTCTCTACTTCTCAATCCCTTTAATTAAGCTTATGCTACTTAATGATCGATTTGCTCGCCACACAAAGACCTAATCCTCTGTTTTTACATATCTAACTCCTAAACTTCAAGCTTTACTTGTTTTCCACCTTTCATATGAATGAAAATGTGTATTTATCACTTATATTTTGACGCGAAATGAAAAATTTGAGTGGTATAAAAATAGAAAGTAAAATTTAGGTGTTGGGATATGTATATACGTAGGGATCAAGTGGTAGTAGGTAAATGACTCTTTTTTTCATGTTGTATTAATTTGTGAAAATTATGTGATGTATACTTTTAATTTTAGAGATAAGTATATCAAATTCTCTAAAATTTCTGATGTCACACATCAAGAGTGTTGGTACAACTCCCTTAAATCATGACAACTGTCTTGTTTGGAAAATTCAAATCACCAAGTTGCTCATTGCAAATGGATTTGAATCTTTCTTAGACTGCAATATTACCCCACTCTTCGGATTCACTCAAGAAGAATCAGGGAACTCTATGGAAAATCAAGATTATAATCTATGGCATCCCACAGATTGAACCAACAATTACCTATCAAATATGTAATAAACTAGGCCACTCAGCCAACACATGTTGGCATAGAACTAATCTTCAGTACCAGGCAATCCTACTCCTCCAACGGCTGCTCTTGCAAGGGGTTCTTGATACTGGGGCCACCACCCATCTCACCCAAAAGTCGGATAACCTTCAAAATCCCCTGCAATACATTGGTCATGATCAAGTGACTGTTGGTAATGGCCAAACCACATACATTACTCATGTTGACATTGGTATACTTCCCAACCCTCATCATAAGCTTACTCTCTCTCCTTTACTTTGAACTCCCCAACTCTCACATAATTTAATTTTTGTACAAAAGGTTACTCATGATATTTCGTGCTAACAAGTTTTATATCCAAGACCTAGTAACCAAGAAAATTCTCCACTATGGAACTGCTCATCACTGGCTATACCCGATCACAGCACTCACCACCACACTCCAACATTTGACATCAAAGACTTGGACATCCCAACAAGAAAGTCCTCTCAAAGATCGACAGAACTTTTCCTACTCTTAAAATTTCCTCTTTTGACTCGCTTTGTACTGGATTTAAACAAAATAAAAGCCACAAACTGCCATTTTATACTAGCTCTACTACTTACAAACTATTTGATTTGTTGCATTCTAATGTTTGGGGTCCTTTTCCCCATCTTTCAATTGAAAAATATCAATATTATCTTACATTCATTTACTCATATTTAAGGTTCTGCTGGTGGATTTCTCCTGAACAGAAATCTGAAACCGCTCAACATTTCCTTCACTTACATAATATGATTAAGAATGATTTTAGAAAAAAAATAAAATTTCTTTGCATCGATGGAGGTGGTGAATATACCTCCTACTATTTACAATACTACTCAAATCAAAATGGAATTCAGCACCAGTATAGCTGCTCGTATACTCCCGAGCAAAATGATCTTGCTAAACACAAAAAATTGCACCTAATTGAAACAACCGGAACCCTTCTCAACCCAACAAAACTTCCCCTTCACTTCTGGATGGATGCGGTCCAAACCACAAACTATCTATTCAATCGGCTCACATCTCCCACCACTAAACAAAAAATATTTACGTACATAGTACACACACAAAGCTGCGTGTACATAGATGTTATTTGAGAGGTATTAGAGCGTTATGAATGTGTTATTGGAGCTAATTCCCCCAATAACCTGACAAATCTTCTGAATAACAATAAAAAATATGAGTGCGGAACCACATAATGTATTGATAGGTTATTGTGGGGTTATTGAGACGTTATACTTCAATAACCTCTCAATAACCCCCAATAACTGAGTTATTGGAAGGTTATTTTGTGAAATACGCACGCAGAACTGCATGCATATTCCGTACGTAGATATCGCTCCCACTAAACACATCTCACCCTTCCAATTCCTCTTCAACACTCCACCTGACTACCAAGCAATCATTGCTTTCCCTAGCAAGCTCAACGCATTTCCCATAAACTTTCTCCGGTTGCACTGAAATGCACCGTTTTTTTTTTTATTTAAAGAAGTTTTGGCAGCACTTACTCAATTAAGTGAAGTAAATCTGGGAGGTCTTGGCTAATTATTGAGCAGTTGTTTTGTTCTTGGAATACGTTTTCTTACTTTTGAAAGGTAGGGGTTAAAGGTTATGGCTTATGGGAGTGTTTGATACTCAAATTAATTATTGTAGCCCACAGAAGTTATGTTGATCGAGGTCATGTCTATATCTTTCCTAATATTTAATTATAAAGGGATTTTTTTTTTAATTCAATAATAACCCATGTATTTTCTTAGACCATTGCTTATAATAATAGTTGATTCTTAACATCCTTCATTTTTAACCTCATCATCCATATTTAATAGATTTGTTCAAAATTTTATAAAATCATTAAAGTGTTCATCAATAATGACCACACATCTCATCTGAAACTGTTGTGTCAATGTTTTATATAGAGATGATTCTCCACGTTCTTTGTAAGATATTTGTTCTCCAACGTTCTTCTTAATTTTCGTGCAGATGTTTTCATCATCACCCCATATGTGGCCTTCTAAGATAAACAATTTTGAATCGAGTCAGATTCATCTTCAACCAATCTCTTTCTGACACCCTGTCAGGATGTTTTTTGCTATCAAAAGTTTTTCCCCCGATCCAAAAGGCATAACATATCCATCACCTTGTATCAATACATGTCAAAGTTTTCTTCACTGTGTCAAATTTTGTCACCTCAATCTTGGTGGGATGCGTAACTACTTCATGCATCGACGTTTTTTCCACCATCATGGTGGATGTTGAAGTACACAACGAGACATGCTATTATATATGGATCCACTAGATCTTTTAACTTGCTCCAATCTCTTTGTCTTCCAATCACAACTTTGTCGGCCCATCATCGGAATCACTGATCCGGCTCTGATACCAATTATTGTGCAACATAATGTGAAAAATAAATTCACACAATAGACAAACAAACAACTAAACACAGCGTGACTTACGTAATTCAACACAAATCGTTCTATGTCCACTCAGAGAGGTTAATCCACTATCAATATGTGGGGAGAAAAGAAAAAAAATAATAATTCACATAATATATTCAACACACTCAAATCTTTCATAATGCCTCGTACAAATAAGAGATGATTGAGATATATAAAGTACGAATATTTTAAATAAAAAAATCATAATATATTTTATTAGGTAATTTCTATGTTGGTCCATATATAATAAAATTATACATTATATGTTATCTTATTTTCTTAAGCTTAAAATTGTCATCAAATAAAGATAAATTATTTGATAGATGTGGCATCTTAATATTATCATAAAATTAATATTATATATAGATTATGTACTAATTTTATTTTAATTATGAGCTAAATTAGAATATACACACTCAAATATAAACAGAGTTAGTCTGAGAGGTTGGTTCTCATTTTTAGTTTATTATTTTCATCATATTTAATCAATGCTTATATAAAAAAAAAAAAGAAATAAGAACAAAATATAAGATCATTAATACATGTTTTGTTCATAAAGTGATAAAATCACAAAGTGGATCACAACCGTTCATTATTCACATACATTAAGAGTACGCGCAACTTAGTTTAAAAGTACACTGAAACAACTGAAACAACTGAGGATATCTAAAGAGAATTTTAGTCTTCCTTCATCACCCGAGGAAAAACGTTGAAGTCCGTCGCCTAGATCCTTCAAACCATATAAAAATCAAGAAAATTATTATATGAATAAAAATTTAAGCAATTTTCAATAAAATTCGGTACATCCTATAAATCCAAATTTATTAAATCCAATGTATTGTATAGATGGAGTTCACGAGCAATAGCAGAATAAATCTGTCTCGCAATCAGATCTAGTAAATCAAGATTTACATCATAAAAGAGATGAAATGGGAAAAAATTCAATTTACAATTTGCATAACGAGATTTAAGTTAAATCTATAACTAAATCCTATTAATAATATGTTACCATACACCACCTAAATGTTGAAAAATAAACTTGATTTTAGCATGTTTCATCTGGAAGTTTATTTTAGAATGTGTGGTACGTATGAAATTATTGTGTGATAGGTGTGGTAGGTATGAAATTATTTTATGAGTAGTATGAAATTATTTGTAACTATTAAATTAGAATTATAGTGAAACAATCCTAACTATTAATTTATGAGGTGTCACTAGTATAAATAGTGTGGGAGTCTTTGAGTTTGTATCAAACCAAGTAAAGATGATAAATAGAAGTGAAACTTCTTCCATAAATTTTTAATCTTTGTTAAATCCTAAAAGCTTCTCCATTCCAACACTAAATATGACTAAATTATAGAATTCTAGACTTACAGTTCATAATCAACTTTAACGTGATGGGCATCTTCATAGGCCATTATGACATAAGCATCCATAATCATCACAATTATTGCAATGATGCGTTACGACTACCGTGGTTGTATTTGCTCTAAAGTTTTGATGAGAATCATCAATACATTTTGCTAACAAATTCCTTCCACATAGCGCTCCATTATTCCATATTGAGGTTTGGAGCCGCTTTTTTACGTCTTCGCGGCCCCAAATCGTAAAAAAAAGATCGTTTGGCACCAGATTCGCGGCAGATAAAAGTTAAAGCAGTGGAAAAGCGGGCCGCGGGATCCCGCGGTATCGATCCCGCGGCCCCAGCTTTCGCCTCGTCAAATTTTATAATTGCCCTCGCCGTCGTAATCCTTGCAACCCTCGTTCCCTCTCGCCGTCGCAACCCTCGTTCCCTCTCGCCGTCGCAACCTCGTTCCCTCTCGCCGTCGCAACCCTTGAACAAATCATTCGCCTTCTCGACTCTTGCGGCTTTGCTTTCTCGCGTTTGGGGGAGACACACAGTGGAATTTCGCTGCCGTTGGTTCTTTCTCTGCCTTTGGAGACGTTCGCCGTCTTTCACCTCCGGATATCAACAATAGCCGGCCATTTCACAGTTTTCACCGTAAGCTTTCGTAGGTTCCCATATCCTGACTACTTCATATGCCAACGATAATATTTCCCTTGCCTTCCTACCTTAATTCCTCTCCATTGTATGTTTTCTATTTTCCTGAATGTTCTTACCATAATGCTTGCTCAGTTAATTGCTGATGCTGTTATGCCTACTTTCATTCCCCATGTGTTCTAAATTTCTGAAAACAGTAAAAAGTAAAAATATGTAAATTAAAAGTAAATACATAAGAATTGTGTTAATTGTGTATAAACATGACTGAAGTTTCTTGTTAAATGTGTATAAATATGCCTACCTTAATTCGCCATCGCAACCCTCATTCACAGTGTCGCGGCAGATGTTTCAATAGGTTAATCCCCAAGTTTTTTAAAAATATATTATTTCAATGCCTTTGGTTGGAAATATCATGCTGCTGCTATGATCTTAAATTTCAATTTGTGTTGCATATATGCCTATGTTTGCCACTGAAAATGATGAAACTATGAGCTACATTCTTGCTTTTGTCAACAAGAGATGCATCAGTCATCAATGTGTTCTGTTCCTTCTCAGTGCTTGAGAGTATATTGGGTAGTAAACGAGGTTTAGGGCAGACATTTATCACTATCGCTTATATGATTGAATTTATGTTAAATTTAAAGTTATACTGCTTTATGTGATGATTTATGATGAAGATGATATTAAAATGCCATAATCTTTTCTAGTGTCAAATGTAATGACAATCATAATGGTAATTCTATTGTCTAGGTTATGCAAACAATCTTTTCTAGTGTCAAAAGATAATAAAAGGTTGCTTAATATCCTATTAACAGACATTAATTGTTGTTACAACAAACTGGTTTTTTGAGATTTAGCAGTTTTCAGGTTTTAGTCCTACTGAATTTTACTAAATTCTACTTTGTTGGGTTGTCATTAAACAAGGTGGACCTTATGAAAGTTAAAAGCGTAAGTTTTTAGCGGCATGTTTGGAAATCTTCCTTCATTTTTTTTTTTAGATTCCCATTCTTGTTCTTCATTGAGGGAAGTGATACTGCAGCATTGAATGACTTTGAGCTTAATCTTTATTTTTCTTTTTTTTTTTCTTTTTCGTCAAATGATTGAAGTTGGTATGGGAAAAGTGCAGCTCTGAGTAGCTGTTTTGAGCTCTATATTAGTTTGTAGTGGAACTCCATACTTAGTGGTGTTGGGGATTTTACAAATTAAGCATGAAGGCTTGTTGCGTATCCCTCGAGGATTGCTGCATTACTATTTTATTTATTAATCCAATTGAATTTCTTTTAGTGTAGCCAATGTCTTTAAAAGTGCACTTGGAAGTGTGCTTTACTCTGCAATGCAAAGCACCATGCGGTGATGATGATTGTTAGGAACAATTGGCATTTTGGCATGCTCGAGTCATTCTCTCCTCTAATAATGGCAGGTGATGTATCAAGAATTGAATGGTGCTCCTCTGGCAACCTTCTAAGCATTTTGTTATTTTTGAAGCTTTATTTTGAGGATGGTTTTGTTATGTGGGTGGATTTCACCGAACCATTTTTCAATCTTGTCCTTTTACTTTGGGTTTTTTTTTCACCGAACCATTTTTCAATCTTGTCCTTTTACTCTGGGTTTTTGCACCATATTATTCAGTTTAAGATGTTACCAAATGTGAATGGTTGGCGCTTATTTACTTTTGAAAGATGAGGTGGTTTATGGCCAAATACCATCGGATCTCGCGTAATTGGTATTTCCTATGATCAAATCTATTCATTACATGTGTTTTTAAATATCAATGATTGGCGCATATTTGCTTAAAAAGTGTAGATGTGTTGCTTTATTGTTAAATGTTTGCAGATCTTTTGTGATTCAATGTTCCCATCCTTATCCGTGAAAGTTAAGTTAATCGAGATTTTTTTTTTTAACTTTAGTCTTGAGCTGAGCTTACAGAAATAAAGCTTCTTCTTCTTCTCTTTGATGGTTCTTAACTGTTACCATAATTGCCATGACAGGGAGATCTGAACGCATACTACAATGTAGCAGATTTAGCATTCATTATAAATTCTTTTTCGGGAATTTGTTGTTGGCATTTTGTTCTACTTTGCCATCATGTGGTGCAGAAATTATGTGTGGGAAACATTTCTCTAAACTATAATATTTTATATTAGATCTAGACATGGGCGATGAATTGATTTATAATTCCTCTTTGAGGAAATATCTTCTTTGCCCGCCTGAGGAAGAGTACTTATAGTGAATGTACTCATCCTGCACAAATCTACAAAAAGGTCTGTAAGAGTCAAAATCCTGCACCTCTTCTGTGTAGATTTTGATATGTTATGTTATACATTATGTTCCATCTGATGACATTGTCTTATCTTCCATAGGGTAAAAAGCCAAAAGTAAATTTGTGTTAGATATGTTAAATGGTGGTATTTTGATGTGAAGTGAAAAATTTGGGTGATATAAATGTAAAAAGTAAATTTGTGTTAGATATGTTTCATCAAATTACTTTATATAATAATTGATTTCATAGATATATACATAAAATTGTGTTCCATATGTGTTAGATATGTAAATACATAAAATTGTGTTCTATATGTGTTCTTATTATTATATAGAAGTTGTTAACACTTTGGGGTCTACTGAAGTTCCAAAAATATGATCGTTATACACATCTTTTAAACAGTTTTACCAAACAGGGGCAGTATGACTTTTTTTCCATAATTTTTTCCGAAACAACTACCCCACAACTGTTTTTTCAGATAGTTGCACCAAACAGACAGTCAACTTCCCCGCAGCTGCTTCCTCGGCTTCCCCGGCAGCAGCTTCCTGGGGCAGCGCAGCTGCAGCTGAAAACTGAGAAGCTGCAGCTGCGCAAAACAGAGCCTGAATCTGGCACTTGAACGATCATCTTCCCATATCAGCTTTTCCAAAACACGTAGACGCTGCATGCATGCAGGCAAAATACAATTCAATAATTGCATATAAGAATTATGGGATACATATGTAAATCTATCTTTATATTAATATATGATGAAAATTATATAAAGTATTCAGAACTCATGAGTATAAGGTGGAGTAGTGAAGCGGGCGTATGTTACTGATACGTCGCCAACAAATTTTCATCAATAAAATTTACTGTATGACACGGATCTCAAGATAAATTTTTGAATAAGCAACATCTAAACTTTGATTAAGAGTCATCCAGAGCTCCGATTTCAATAAACTTATAGTCAAACTGACCGAATCGATGAGACAAACCTAATGATATCAAAGTTAGTCCAATCCGAGTTAAATCAAGCCCAGATCAAGTGATTAAATCATTCTTGAAAGATTTTCAGACATATTTGAGAGATCAAACGAATGTCAAATTTAGAGAGTTCATAGTCGAATCGAGCGTCTCGACAAGACGAATATAACGAGACCAAGATTGCTCAATTTTGACATCGTTAAGGCACTCAAATGTCCATCAAACTCCTTTCGATCGAGTGAAGCTCTCCAGACCATCCGATCAAAATTGTTCATATTCCTGCATTAATTGCACCCAGAATACTATAAATAGAGCCTCACTCTTCACATGAAGGAGGCTTGAGAGAGAACTTGAGGTTTTGAGAAGGAGCTCAAATCCAAGATCTTCCTCGCCATCGTCGATCGCCGCCGACTACCACTAATCGACAACAACCACCGCTGACCTCCGTCAACTATCGTCGGACACCGTTGTTCGCCGCCAGTCACTACTGACCTCCGTCGACCACCATCGTCCGTCATCAGCCACCGCAGACCTCTGTTGACCATTGTCGACAGTCATCAATTGTCGTCGACTACCGTTGATCATTGTCGGTCTCCGTCAACCACCGCTTACTAGACGTCATCAGTTGACGTTGTAAAGTGAAAAGCTAGTTTCCCTTTCCCGCCTGTGGGACAAGGGGCATCTGTAATCATCAACTTATAGTGTATTTTTACAACTGGGTCAGACCCCGTGGTTTTTCCCTTTTACGGGTTTTCCACGTAAAAACTTCTGGTGTTATCAGAGCTTGATTCATTTTCATCTGAGTGTGTGTTGAATTCTCGTGCAACGCTTACTCTATCGCCGTGAATTTTCTAAGTGAACATGCATCAGTTATAGTTGCAAAGGCAAATGATAAGGAGCATAGTATGTTTATTGCTGCAATAATTAAAATTGTACTGGGCTTCTCCATTAACCTCTAGATCTTAGTTGCCACTGCTGAAACTCCTCACAGTTATAAGTTTCATTTATGATGATGATTATTAACTAATAGGGGCAATTACATAAAGATTATCGGAAACTTGCTATTTACAAAACAGCCACTTTCTTTCATCCAAGAGAATATTACATCATCAGGAGTCCTAACTCAGTGTGCGTTCGGAGTCCAATGGTGGGGAGCCCCGTGTCAAGTGGGCCCCACCATAATATATTGGTATTGACCGGTGTTAAAAATTTTGGTGCCCAATTGACACGTGACGACCCACCATTAGACTCTGAATGCATCAGGAGTTCTAATGTAATATTTTTTCCATTTTTCAAAGACTCGCTCAAACATCAAAATTCAATGTAAGAACCTCAGTCATATTTTTAAATATTAATGTGTCTGATGATCTGTATGAAATTATCCCTAAATACTAATAGTAATAATGAACATATGGTAAACAAAAAAAAAAATCAAATCATTAATGTCAGATTGATCAGAATTTTATTCTTTAGCTAATAGGATTACAATCATTAAGACAAAGAAATAAATGTTGCATTATTAGTATTTGAAACTATATATATTAATATAAAACTATATATATATATATAGCATATTGACAAAAAATTGTAATCAGGAAAGTAAAAAATAGTTATAATTTTATAGTTTATTTACGATGATTAGAATCATTAAGACAAGATTAAGAAGTTGTATTTGCAAAATCTCTCATTAATATTTTACGCATGAATTTGACAAATATGTATGCAAATAAAATGGAAGGCCGGTAAGACTCTGGTGCAAATGTTTTAATTGTTATGGACTGATTTATTATTGGAAAATTTACATATGTACCCCTTCATATTTATGTATTTGCACTCCATGTTTTGAACTTATGCATGAAAAATTACCTTTGGGATATGCAAAATGCATGTAAAATCAAATCTTTATGTAAGAGATATGTAAAAATGTATGTAAATATGGGTGAGATATGTAAAATCTCTAAACTTTCATATTTACACATATAACCTTTAAATCCTTAAACCTTCAGTCAATAACAATTAAAACATCTCCACCAGAGTTTTTACCGGCCTGCCATTTTATATATATATACATATTTCTCAATTTCATAAGTACTTACGTATACCAAAGCAGATGAAATATTAATGAGATATATTCCAAATAAAACTTCTTAATTTTGTCTTAATGATACTAATTATCTTAAATAAATTATAAATTATAACTATTTTTTACTT